GATTAGGTTGGCTAGTACTAGGGTTAGGGTTAAAGTTAGGATACCGGGAATAGGCACCCCCCTGTAATTCAGCTGGAGGCCATCTTTAATGCGGGACGTCCATATTCCCGCGCCGATCGGAATGCTTATCTGCTTCTTAGTCGTTTTATACCAGCTGTCTGTCTTTATATGATGGCTAAATGATCAACGCTAGCTTCTGAGCCGGATGGTTGTTAAAGCGTTTGGGCGTTTTATGATTTATATTTTGTTATGCTAGTTAAATTTACTATCAAAACCTAACCGCAGGAAAATAATTGGAGTCATTGTTCAAAATGTGTGACAGTCGTCCCAGCCGGGGTAAATTTAACGGATGTTGGAAAAATTTTAAGTTTCGAGTATGTGCAGCAGTTGCGTTTCATCCACCGCAAAACTTGGTGTTGATCCCCCAGGCGAGGCAACGGCAGGTTGGAAAACTCCAATTAGATGTCCGCATAATGTGGATCGTGGTTTACGGGCGGGACAGCATGCCGAACAGTAAACCGACGGAATGCAGGAGAACACAGAAGACGGTTGGTGGCCAAAACGAGGCTTTCGAGCAAAATGATGAATAGATGCAGATACGGTCTCCATCTGGGTACTCCGTGGCGTTCCATCTTGAAAGATTGCCTGGCCATCAAACAGTTGAGCCTATTCCCTGGCAGACATTTCTGTTATCCCTCAATTCACGCTCAGCTGATCTCAGTTTCTTGTTTCTTCGCTCTTGGGTGCAACTGCCAGTCAATAGTACTTAACTAGATTTTACAAGTACATACAGTAGGTGGGCTAACTCATGAACTGACGACCGAAATTTGGAAATGCGTTCTCGTTTCGAAAAGGTTAATTAAGTAGGGTTGTAAAACTAATCATCATGTAGCATAATTCTATAATGATCCAGTTACCTCAGGGTGTCGGCTTTCGAATGAACTTATTTCCGACTGCATGCAAGAACTATACTCTGCAAAAAATGACCACGTAATTAGCATGCAATTTTCTCATTTATTTTCGATGCCCTTGAAAATTTAATTATATTTCATGGAAAACATGTATACAAATATTCATTCATTTATTTATTCGGTATAAAATCACGTCTTCTTCCTATTTTATACTCTAATGATGGGTATACTTCGGTTTAAATAAAGTTTCTAATTGTAAGATTTTTTAATTCCGTGGAATAGCCGTTCATAAGACGTCATGTATTTGCATTTACGAATGTGGCTTGTAAAGTTAACAATATTGCTCAAATCCACTGATTAATTTTCTGAACCCATCATTAGAGTATAAAATAGGAAGAAGACGTGATTTTATACCGAATAAATAAATGAATGAATATTTGTATGCATGTTTTCCATGAAATATAATTAAATTTTTAAGAGCATCGAAAATAAATGAGAAACTTGCATGCTACTTACGTGGTCATTTTTTGCAGAGTATACTTCTTGCATGCAGTCGGAAATAAATTCATTCGAAAGCCGACACCCTGCGGTAACTGGATCATTATAGAATTATGCTACATGATGATTAGTTTTACAACCCTACTTAATTAATCTTTTCGAAACGAGAACGCATTTCGAAATTTCGGTCGTCATTTCATGAGTTAGCCCACCTACTGTATATCAGCATACAATTCACAATCTACCGACAACTACTTGGGATCCTTTACCCTACCGCTGCCCCAGGCGACAGTTGCCTACCTGCAGCAACTGCGGAAAACTAAAAGAGTGTTGTCTGATTTGCCGAACTTGCGAATCTCAGTAAATCACTTCGCCAGGAATGAACGGATTACCACTTCCGATGTTCCGTTGAGTCTGAATAATCAGGACCGATGGATACTGACACCAACCTGTCTGAATTCACTGAAAAACTGTCCCGATCGCCAATTTTAAAACCAGTTAACCAGATCTTTAGTCGTCATCTCTGGAGCCAGTACACGTTTTGGTATTTGTCTGTCAGTTATCAAACAGTGTCATCATTCTTCTATGAACTCATACCGGTTAGGTGTTGTTATGAGTTTTTTAAACTCTGGTCATAGCTAACGCACCTGCCGCACCGATTACCCGGAATTTTACCAAACATTATAATTGCTTCATCAAGCTACCTGCCTCGGCTGACGATTGGCTGAAACAGTCAGTAAACACTGTTTAGTTTCAGTTGTTATCCTTGTCACTGATAGTGGATTCCTACACGTTTCTGTAACCTCCGACCAGGAAACTCTTTCATTCCGTAATCGGAAATCCAGTCCCGTCTGCTGTAGAGCACTGCATCCTCGAAACCGGAATACCGTTTCCTCGATGGAGGCAACTTAATTACGAGTAACCACCACTAGGTAATAATCACTCCGTTTTCACCACTGGTCGGGGATTTCTGGGAGCTTGTACTTTAAAAAATCGATTCGGACCGTCTAGGCTTATGCCTGTTAACCGCCATGTAACTTCGTCCCCACTTTCGCCTTTTTAGCAAAGAGATATCGATCATATTAGCGGGGGTATTTGACCAATCAGGATCTTGCAGGCCAGACAATAGCGCCGAATTTCACCCGGGAATACTTAATTAATGTGGCTGCGCGCCAAGGCTACTGCTTACAACGCAGTGACTTTTTTCTTTCGCCAGCCCTTTGGCGTGTAAGTGGAGCAGACACGACTTGACGGCAGATCCACGCTCGGCGTGTGTGTCCGCAGTGAATTTAAAGTGTGTGTGTGAATCAGGACTGCATGACGCCTATCCCCCTGCCTACGGTAGGAATGTTAAAGTCAGTAGTGTGACTTGGTCAAGTGAACTCTGACATTTTCTTCTAAAGACCGCTTCACAGAAAAACTGAATTCAGTTTTAGTAGTAGTGATCGCATCTGGCGTCCATAATTTGGGATATTTTTGACTCTGGCGAATTCAAAAGGCTTGTCGGTGAGAGTTAATTTTGGTCACCATCCCCGGTAGCGCCTTTGATAGTGTCGACCTTTACAGCTGCCCTTCATGCAGTTCTAGAAAATTCTGAATGAGTAATGTGGTCTTGACGCACTGTTGGGTATTTTAATTCAGTACGACAGCAGAAAGTTTTGATTCGTCGTGAACTTTCTTCAGTTCCTGTAAAACCGTCGTTACCTAAAACAAATCGATAATCACTTCGTTCTCAAACTTCAGGACGATTTTCGGAACAGGTCTGCGCTTTGAAATCGTATGCAGCACAGTCCACAAAAACTTGTCAGAGACCATTCAGAAGGAAATGATTGTTGGTTGTACTTCTTTTTCTAAGTCATAGTAAAGGCGGCGACCATGGATTTCCAGATGCCGTGAATACTGGGGCAGTATTCGCTGCATTTGAGAATCATAGTTTTTTTCCGAAAGTAGATAACGGAGCAACTTTCAAAACTATTCCCCACTAAGAATGACACCTTAACCGTTAAAATTCGTAAGCTTCAGCTGGAATATTTGCCCAGACATCCGGAGATAGAGTCCAAGAGAAGTAACCCTAATAGGTTAGTCAATAAATACAGACTAACTTATTACATCGGATCTTACGCCCTGATTAAAGCAAAAATCACACCGAGATTACCGTTGTACCGATTAATGTTCATAGCCCCTCAGTAATGCTTCTCAAATCTGCGGGAAATTCGCTTAATTAAAACCTCATTCATGACTTGGCACTAATGACAGCTAGGCCAGAAATAGCCATTCGATTCCCTGACAATATTCATTTCTACAGAATAAAATCAACTTTCATCTCAGATACTCCAATTTTATCAAAGAAGGCCTGAAATGCAATAGTTCCTCCTGATGATCACGCCGTAATAGGCCGCATAATGCCCAATCAAACATTAATTTGCACTTTATTCAGTTATTAATTATCATGGTAAAATGGGGACTCCTCGGTGAAGGCACTTCTCGGTCTGTGTCGGCCGATTTAGTTCTTAAATGTCAGTTTTCATGTTCATGCATCTGTGTCAGAAGGTGGCATTTAGGTTCTACAGAGCACCTGCTCATAAAGAATAAAAAAATACTCAGTAGACGGATCCCAATTTTCCCCCTGCGGTAATTGCTCTTTGGCCCTCATCGCGTCTTGCTGAACTTTATCTGAGGTTTCCCTGTGCAAAAAAGGACATCAGAAGGTTTGATTGCCTTCCTAGAAATCATCTTGAAGGAATAATATACCTAAACTTTGAGTCCTCCTTTTTTTCCCGTTCCAGTCTGTAGCGACCGCCAAATTCGTTAGGTACAGAATTTCGTCACCTTTTTCTTCAAGATCGCCACAGGAATCTACGTTTCCATACCTGTATTTATGGAAACCATGGTAGTTCTGACGCATTTAACTGACTTCGCCATGCTCATCATCTTTTGCGGGCGTCTGCTTTAACCTTATTTTCACCTTCTGTGGATGTCGGGTTGTTGAACACTGTCAAATATTTGACTTTCTTCTTGGTCCCCATCAGTGGAATGTGAGGAATTACCGTGATTGGTCCTGCTGTATTGCGACATGATAGTTCGACCGTTGAGTTCAACAATGCCCATTTTGTGCTCCACTAAAAGGTGAGAGCAGGGACAGTGACTTGTGCGTGAATTAGTTTCTAGTGATAGTAGAGTTGCGCAGCATCTACCGCACTCTCTCTTCCCCACTCCCCACCCGGGCCCGGTGGCAAGACAGAGTCAAGAAGACCGAGGGCGGGAGGGGGTGCAGATGGATGACATTTCCAGCCCGCACCTTGGCGTTCCACTCCACACCCTCTGGTCCACACACCAAATGACCAGGTCTTCGATCAGCAACAGCAGCAGTAGTAGCAGAAACAACAACATCCCAACAGGGGCCAGAAGGACGAGGATGATGATTGGGTAGCCATGCCCACCACCTGTGTACGCCGCGGGGACGCAAGAGTATCTATCGGCAGGGAATCAGATGTCAGGGAACTGTCAGCGCGCACCAGGTTGCGAGGGCCATGGCTTGCCGACACTGGCATAGCACACGCTTACAGACCTTTTGACCTAGGAGGGCGACGTATGGTCCTGCCCGGGCCGTCAGCCTTCAATGTTAGGTAACCAAACAGTCTTCGACTGAGAGGCCCTACCCATAGAGGGCAATGCGACACACACGTACATATTTTATCATAACCACATCGTTGACCCTGTTTTGTGTATTTTGGCAGAGTTTAGGAAGCAGCGCACCCGGTGGCCTGCATTTGGCTTCTCCACGGAGTATTCCCTCGCAAATTGAATAAGTTTCAAGGCTGAGCTTAGAAACGTGAATGAAGTTAACGGTGTGTAAAGTATTCCGTATCGCGTTATTTGTCTCTTAGAGGGACCTAACTCCTTCTAAATGTTAAACCTCGCCCAATCGAGGGCAATGACATAGCATGCTACCAAAGTGCGACCTCTCCTGGTTGCATCTGCCCCCATTTGAACTTCTCAGAAAATTACTCTGTTGGCATTAAAGCATCAACCCAGAATGTTCCTAAAAGCACCTGCCAGGAACAAGAGCACCAAATTTGTGTACTTTAGAGAGCTCACGGACCGACGGCTAGCAGCCACGTTCATTATGTTAATTTTGCTCCGCCCCATAGTGATCCATACCTTGGTGAACTTTTTAGAATTTTAGTCGCACGGCACGTACTGTGATTGGAGTTTGAGCGTACAGTTCAGCCACCCGCCTCCACCCTCGAGACGCATAGACTTGTCCGTAAACAATGTGCACAGGAATGGTTGTTATTCCCGTCCCGGTTACAAGATACCGCATAATTTTAGGGTCGCACCTTTGAGCACTTTTGGATAGAGTTATAAATAAAGAGGTATTATCTTTTGTGTCTGTTTGCTTTCTTAAACTATTCTACCAACTCTGCTTGGCAGTGTCCTGATATTAAGAGAGTTAGTATCGGCGACACAACGTTCTCAACAGCCCTACGATTGTGTTCAAGGTCATTGTTGCCGCCAAAAGGACGACTGATCAGCTAATGAGGTTACATTTGAAGGAACGACTTCAGTTTTTCCCTCTTCTCTGAATTATCTTCCTTTTGGTGGAGTTTATCTACTTAACTTATGATGAGTAGCATCACGGCAGGTGTTATCGCGTACAGTAATTGGGAAACCTCATGAAATGTCAACGGAAATTCCGAAATGTTTTCCGATTCGAAAAAAATTAATTAAGTAGTGTTGTAAAACTAATCATCATGCAACATAATTTTATAATAATTCAGTTACCCCAGGATGCCGGCTTTCGAACAAACTTCTTTCCAGCTGAATCTAAAAACCATACTTCGTAAAAAACGGCTACTTAAGTAACACGCATTTTTCCTTGATTTTAGATGAACTTAAAGATTCAGTTATACTTCATGGAAAATATGCATAAAATATTCATTCTTTTGCCCATTCAGTAGAAAATTACGTCTTCTTTCAAATTTAAGCTCGAAGGATGAGAAGAATTCGGTTTTAAAAAGTTTATAATTGTAAAATTTTTTAATACCGTGAAATGATCTTTCGTAAAACGCCCTCTCTGTGCACTTCCCAATGTGGCTCAAATCCTCCGCTTAATTTTGTGAACCCTATATGGTCGTCCTTTATAACTGTAGAGAAATGTATGGTTTTCCGTACTCAGAATTTATACGGCATGTAGTTTGGGAACCCTGAATGCAAGTGTAACGGCACGTTGGGCTCAAAATTATCCGGGAATCGGTAAAGTTTTATAAAACCAAAGTGTACCCTTCCTTCGAGTGTAAAATTAAAAGAAGACGTAGTTTCCTACTAAATGAGTAAATGAATGAATATTTTTATGCATATTTTCCATGAAATGTAATTTGACTTTTAGGGGCATCGAAAGCCAATGAAAAAAATGCGTCTACTTAAGTGGTCATATTTTACGGAATATAGTTTTTGCATGCAGCCGGAAAGAAGTTCGTTCGAAAGCCGGCGTCCTGGGGTAACTGAATTATTATAGAATTATGCTGCATGATGATTGGTTTTACGACCCTACTTAATTAGTCTTTTCGAAACGAAAAGGCATTTCGGAATTTCTGTTGAAACTTCATGAGTTAGTCCACTTTCTGTATACCTCTTCGTGTTACATGAGTTACCTCGGGTGACACTCCTCGGATGAGAAAAGAACGGTACTCGGTTCTTCCACAATTTCGTGCGCGTTGTCGAAAGACCGTCAAAGGAACCAGAGGTATGCGAACGTACAGGGTTATCCGCGACGACGAAATAATGTCAGTGGAGCGCTTTACATTTAGATCTGCCATGAAACTTGTTGTTGTCTGTAAATCCGGCATATAGTCCAGACAATAGCCTTGCAGGTGACAGGTAAGGACTATTCGTAGTTCGCAGAGAGGAGATAGGCGTCAACCCTAACTCCACGGCGGAACATCTGGCACCAATTTCGGTGTTTGACTGCGCCTAGCGAAACAAGTTGTCCTATTTCAAATAGACGCCCACAAAACGGTGGGACATGCTCGTGCTGAATTCCAGGGAAGGTAAATACTCTCGTGCCCTGACTCCAACCGCGCCACCAACTCTTGGCCGTCGGAATCAGTGTTTTCAGCTGGTTGAAACTAAATTTGCTTCCTCCGGCTTCAAATATTGACAAATACTTTCTTTTTTTTCATGTGGACATCGCCCAGTCACTGGCGTTACCAGAAAATTTTACAGTCTGCACGCCTGCTGGATGGTTCTAACTCGAAGGTAGAGACTACCGCTAGTAGGGAGGATACTTGAGGTTTATAGACTTAAATTCATGAGTCGTTGTTTGGACAAAACGTTTTAGACCGATTACGCTGTCGGTCTAATCATCCAGCACTAGAATGAAGAATCAGTGGATAGGGGCCTCCACCTTGTCTGGACACTGTCGTTATCTCATTTCTGCCGTGCATTACTTCTTGGAGTCCTTCGAGCAACGCCCATTCCCCGCTCTCTCTCGCAGTCGATCTCACCCTCGTATCTCGCACGTCGTCGTAGATCACGACAATGTCTGGCGTGAGGCTATCGATTTTTTATTATACCCAACAGGGCAGTTTTACCGGCTAGTGTTTCATTTTGTCTCGGCATCTTCACTGCGTGCAAGGGACTGGCGAGTGTACGTGTTTGTATGTGTGTGTGACGAGAACGACCGATGTTGACGGTGGCCAATCAGCGAACAGCAAATTATCGACGGGCGTAGAAGCTGCTACTCTCATCTCCCTCCCCCACCCCCCCCCCTCCACCCGCTACCGGCGTCGTCCGCCGGCAGTTGTCCGGCCGCCCTATCATTGGCTGACACGTCAGCAACATAATCAACGCCTCTCTGACGCATTCAGTTTGCCCCGTACACCACCGCTACGCCGGTTACAAGTCCACGCTGACCACACGACTAGACAATCCGACAGACCATCTGGACGAGCCACTCCAAGTCAGCGCGTTAGTCGCCCTGGTGATTAAAAGAAAATGACATTTCAAAAATGGAGTACCTACCACACACTGGTGAGCCAACCACCTTGCAATTGCGCCGTAAAGCGGCAGAATATCGGCGAAAACGCGTGTCTAGGCTGTGTGCGGTCAGAGTGGTGAATTCCGCAACATCTGTATACTACTGACTGCCTGTTGACAACTTATGAATATTACGCAGTTATCCCTGTGATAATGACGGAGCTCGGTTCAAATATTCATATCGACTTTCCAACTGACCGTATAGCGCTTCATTTCGAATGATCCAAACTAATTTATTGTATTAACTTCCTGGCAGATTCAAAAAACTGAGATTTTGAAACGGGATTATGTTCCGGAAAGCATACGGGAATCCACTTATGAGACGAACCACCCACAGCTGTGTCATGAAGCTGCAGAATATCTGCGAGACACGCATGGCTGCCAGTAGGTGTGCTAAGTCCTGCAATGTTAAATAAAATTCTGAAATGTGTTTTGGACTCGAAATGATTACTTAAGTAGGGTTGTTAGATTAATCAACATGCTGCATAATCCTGAGATAATTCAGTTAGTTCAGGATGCCGGGTTTCGAATGAACTTCTTTCCGTCCAACTGCAGAAACTAAACCCTGTAAAAAGTGACAACTTAAGTTGTACGCATTGTTCACATTGAATTTTCGATACCGCTATAAATTCGAATGCATTTTATAAAATACATGCACAAAATATCCATTCTTTTACTTATTTTGTAAAAAATTACGTATCCTTTAAGATTTATACTTTAAGGAAAGTTATTATTATATTTTTCAAAAAGGTTATAATTATGAGATTCTTTAAGACCATGAAACGCCCGTTCATAAAACGCCATATTCCGCATTTGCTAGCGTTGCTTGTAAAGTTTACGATATGACCTGTATCTCTGCCAAATTTTATGAGCTCCAAATAGTTTAATCTAAATAGCCTATAGAAATGCAAGATTTTCCGTAAACCGAAAATATACAGCCTGTAGTTTCGAAACCGTGAATGCAAGTGTGACGGCAGGTAAGCTTCCAAATTATTCAGGAATTGGAAAAGTCTTCTGAAACCGAATAATATTCTTCATTCAAACATGACATTTAAAGAGGACGTAATTTTCTAAAAAAAAGCAGAATGATTAATATTTTTGTGCATGTTTTCTATGAAATACATGTGAATTTATGGCGGTATCGAAAAATCAATGAGAGAAACTCTTATTGCTTAAGTGGCCATTTTTACAGAGTTTAGCTTTTGCAGGTGATCGGAAAGAAGTTCATTCGAAACCCGGCATCCTGAAGTAACTGAATTATCTCAGGATTATGCAGCATGATGATTAATCTAACAACTCTACTTAAGTAATCATTTCGTGTCCAAAACGCATTTTAGAATTTCGGTCAACATTTCACGAGTTAGCACATCCACTGTAGTACCTGTGTTGTCAGTAGATTTAATCATGCAGCTGACCTGATCGCAGAAAACTGCACACACCTAAAATTGCATCGAAGAAATTAGGAGTCACAAAGGTTGATTAGGACTCCGAGAAAGGAAAGAATGTGAAGAATAACGTGTCTGGAAACTGTGCGTTGTCTATGCTATTACTAATGGTGGGCTCATGTACTTATATGAAAAGAATATCTAGATAGTACCTCCGTGACTAAGATTGTAATAAAAATCCGATAATTATCGAATTATGCCCTCGAGAAGGTAAGAGGACCTTGGGATCTTCGTGATATCGAAGTGAGTCCATTGAAAACACTCATATACGAGAAATAATAGTCCATCTGCGCGAGCTTTTAATCCTAATCTATTGCCCTATGAAGTTTGTACCAATTACATACTACCATCTTAGGAGGAAAAGGGCGTGGTTTGGTTCTGCAGCCTCACACGAGTGATGCCAAATGGTTGGCTTCCGAATTCAATATTAGTTAACATACCTAACTTAACCACTTGCTGGTCTAGGAAGAGAAAGAGAACGTAAGCGGGGCTCGAAGCACGCGCAGGGAAGCGAGTGAAGGTTACGTGTAAACACTCTCCTCCTCCGACACAGCCACTTGCTGGATTAAGAGGATAAGGAGGGCACAATCTCAACTGGAAGGCCACGGTGGGAACCGCGCAGTAATTTGAAGTGCATGGCTACCACAGTGGAACCGACGGAGTTTCACACCATCCGAACAATTCGATCAACATGTCTACCTAGCCACTCGCTGGATTGAGATAAAAAAGAAAGCGCGGGCAGGGCTCGAAGCACGTGCAAGGAAGCTCGCATGAGCTGAAACTGATGTAACCGAGGATGGCGTATATGCAACCCTCCCCCCGTGGTACAGTCACTTGTGGGATTAAAATGTTGAGGAAAATGCAAATATATGATGTTTGCAAAGTCGGCGCATTCGCAGATACAAAATTTTGTTAGAAAGCTAACCATGTGTTATCATTGGGGTGGGGCCGCAGAAGCAAACCTCACCAAAAATAATCACACTGGAAATGCCTATTCCTCCATGCCCGTATAGGAGATCGGGTATTCTAACTTTTCCAAAAAGGGACAAATTGACATCACAACGAAAGCTGCTTTCCAAGAGAGCTAATGCTGTTTCATAGATTTGGGCCATTTACAAAGGCAGTCGAAATGCTAAATGACGCCCCAGGTGCAAGTACTGAACTTCAGTGACTGGAGCTGAATTTATTAAATGCGATGTAATTCACACATCCAACTGGTATTGCTTACTTCCATGCACAGGTGGCATGTACTGTCAAGTAACCCATTCAATTTTTTCGGCGACTTATCCTGAGACCTTTGTGGCGACTGCTGGTAGACAAGGGAGACTGAAATGGCCATTTCTGACAGCAAGAGCCAGCCACACCAAAGCCTTAACGTAACCCTGACTGTTCTCAAACGCAGCTGACGAGAATTAGGCGCCTGGCCAAAATGAAGGAAGCCGTGACTCGAATGCTCGGTGATTAACTAGGTCCGGGTCAAAGTTCTGACCATTTGGGCCGGGGGCAGAGATAGGACTGGCTGGTTGATGACGGCAACTTAGCCGGAAACGAGTCTTCGCGGCCCGCCTCCTCCCATTTGATATTCCTTTTGCGTCGCTGACTCCTTATCGCTGTTCGAGTGACTGCGAAGTCTGTAGGTGGAAGTCCCGAGGCAGAAAAGGAAGGAGCATGTTCGCCATTTTTGAAAATACCTCTGATGCGCTAAATGGGAGGGGGCTTATTGGGTTAGATTTGGTCCTGCAGTGGCTTGTATCCGTTTGGGGTTGGAGGACTATACTTCCAGATCAAAACTGACACGAAAAGAATTCCGATGATTTACAATGTCAAACAGGCCTGGATGTTGCCTGAGTGTGTACCAAGACGGAAAGTTTCAGAAAAGTTTCGCTGTAGTCTATTTTAATCTTAAAAACCTAAAGGTTGAGTATACAGGCAACCCCATGACCCCATGACACAAAGACGTCTATCGAAGATGCATGCACAGAGGCAGTTTTAAAGTCTGGCAAGCAGCAGGAAGCCAATACGCTATTAAACGGCAAGAAGATAGGAGACTGATCGACTGTCACCTATCCATTTTTTGTACAGGAATCTATCATTAGAGTTGACAGCAGTCACTCAACGAAAGACAGTTCTACGGGGTTACTGACAAATCAACGACGAGAACAGATATCCACTCTCAATGATTTATTCCAAGTTGCCAGATCGTTTTTTGAGAATATTAAGGAGTCGAAATGGGAAAATTAGGGGAGGACGAAACCTTTCTTCTTGGCTGTCCTGTATGCCGAAATTGCTAGGGGCCTCATTTAGCCCCAGGGGAATCGGACGTTACCGAAAGTTAAACTTGATATACCTTTGATTTGCTAGCCTCAGGCAGCACATGGCAGTCATTCTTTGGTGTGTTTGGTTAAACCTGCGGTTCTTCAAGCCTTGACTATCTGGCCTCGCCGGACTGCCTTCCCGTCACCGTCCAGCGGTACTATAAGTCTGGTCTGTTTCCCTCCTCCTCCTCCTCCTCCTCCTCCTCCTCCTCCTCCTTCTCATTCTCCCCCTGCCCCACTATCGATCTGTCCCGTTTTACCCTCCAAGTGTATACAATGAGTTACCGATCTCATGAAATGTTGGCCACAATTCTGAAATGCGTTCTCGATCAGATCGGATTACTTAGGCGCAGTTGTAATACTGATTATCTCGCGGCATACTCCTATAATTTTTCGGACTTGGTAGGATATCAGCTTTTGAATGCCCCGCTTTTTAATTTCCCGTAAAAACCGTACTTGGTAAAAAATGGCTACTTGAGTGGCATGCATTTTTCGCATTGATTTTCGATGGTCCTGCAAATTCAAATATATTTTATGGAAACCGCGAACAAAATATGCTTTCTTTCGGTCACCTAATAGAGAATCACACCATCTTTATATTTTACACTCGCGGAAGGAGCATGGGTAGGTTTTGAAAAAGTTTTTAATTATGAGATTTTTTAAGAGCGTACAATGTCTGTTCATACAGTATCGTATCTGTCCATTTACCACTGCTTCTCATGAAATGCTCAACATAGTCCGCATCCATTGCATAACTTTATGGACTTTATATGGTATTTTTTTAAAGGTCTAGAAGAATATTTTATTTTCTTTGTACAGAACGGATGCATCTGGTAGACTAAAATCATTAAGTGCTACTGCAACAACTGATCAGGCTCCAAATTATTCGGGAATTAGAAAACTTTTCCAAAACCTAGTTATACTCCTTCGGGTATAAAATATAAAGATGACGTGATTCTCTATTAAACTACTGAAAGCGAGCATGCTGTTGTTCGCGGTTTCTATAAAATATATTTGAATTTACAAGACCATCGAAAATCAATGCGAAAAATGCATGCCAATTAAGTAGTCATTTTTTACCAAGTAGAGTTGCTAGAGGAGATTGAAAGCGGTGTATTCAAAAACCGACATCCTGCTGAGTCCGAAATATTATAGAAGAATGCCGCGAGATAATCAGTATTACAACCGCGCCCAAGTAATCCGTCCTTATCGAAAAAGCATTTCAGGATTTCAGTCAACATTTCATGAGATCTGTCACTCACTGTAACTATACAGCACAGGGGTGTACTGCACAGTATGATAATGAGACCTAGGGGACTTAGAACGATAAATGAGAAATGCACGCAGGTGTATGGTATGTGACCCCCTTGGGGAGGCCGTAGTTAGTTACAAACCTATGCCCATGCTTGGAATGGAAAATCTCTAACTTGTAAGCATTTAATGAAAAGTCCGAAGAAACCGCAGCCATAAACCAAGCCCTAGAACCCTAACCCTAGCCTCCATCCCAAATTCAAACCATAGCTCAAGCCTGGAAACCCTGTTTCAAAGTATGACCCTACTAATAGCAATTTTAACCGTTGTCCAAACCCTAGCCTTGGGCCCAAAACGGACAATTTTAAATCGATAACGCTACTGGAGGTCACAATCTGCTTCCCCTTTATGACCCATTGCATGACAAACCATTATGAAGCACACCAACCATCCAGAGGGGGGGGGGTTTACAAACCCCACCCTCATCTAACTTTTTTCTCACCTTAAAGGACCATTCAGTCATCAGAATTGCACAGTTCAGTTTCCCAAGAGCCGCCTGCTAGGCAAGCCCATCTAGCCGCATCTTCATCGAATGTAAAACTAATTTCTGCTATTCCATTTGAACTCGACACATTTGGGCAAGTATTCAAGTTATTTAGAGGGAGACAGTGTTCGGTCGACTCGCATTGTCTTGCAAAAACTACGGGCACAAGAAAGCATACATGCAGGGTCGTCTATGCTGAATGGGATGTTTCCCGAGACAGTGGAAATTAGTGAGGAGAATGTTCCACGAGGGTTCTTGCGGCGTGCGGACGTAGTATTTGCAAAAGCTGTCAGACACGGGAACTTGGAACTCCCCCGGTCAACAGGTGGCCTTGCGTAAGGCTGTAGGGGGGAGTGCCTATTCCCACTTCGATCAGGCGCCCAAACCAAAAAACCGGCGAACACTTCCGTACATTAGGAAGGTGTCCGAACTAGTTGAAAGACACCTGAAGAAGCACCAAATACATGCTGCGCACAAGCCGACGACTACACTTCGTAACCAGCTGGTACACCCTAAGGATAGGGTTGGCTATTTACATAAGAAGGAAGTCGTCCATGCAACACCAGTAATGCGGTTTACTGCGGTCAAACTGGCCAGTCGGCCTCTACACGAATATGGGAATATCAGTTGGCCGTAAAAAGGCGAGACCACTTGTCCCAAGTTACCCTGCAAACGCTGGAAACTGGACACAAATTCGCCTGGTACAGGACTCGCATCATAGGTGTCCGCTCATCTAAGAACGACCGCATCAACCGACACGTAGAATTTGATGCGGTGTACAACATCCTCAAGGAGAAGTGGAAAAGGCATTGACCAATCAGGACTTTACGCCAGCAGGAGTGACAGGCCAAAATCGATTTTTAGGCATGTTTAAATGTTAAGTGTTTTGCACACTTACTTTACCTCTGAGGACGACTTGGGGAACCAAAGTCGAAAATTTACAATTAAACTTGTTTATCTTTCCCAAAGAAGTTATTTCTTTCCAATTATGCTCTTTGGGATGCCTACCTTCAAATTCATTAATCTTAAACGTAAGTTCCTGCGGGATTTACTGCAATGCCGGATTTCCCGTGTCCTCCCACAAACACATGCTACGGGCACAGCAAAATCCTAATGGCAGCCGCCGGATTTTGTAGAAAAATTGGATTTTTACGGTAGCCCTAGCAAAACAAGTTCTGGTTACCGCAAAAAAAATCGGCGGGGCTCGGAAATGCGGTCCTGCTTGCTCAGCAAACTATCACCTTCGTACTATCATTGATTTCAGTAGATGGTAAACATTTATCACTTACGTACTATAATTAATTTCAGCGGGCGCAGTGCCGCTTGCGGATTCTTCCAATTTGAGGTGCTGCGATTATTATTTACAAGTACTTTGGGGTCTGGGTTTTACGGTTGGAAATAGGATTCGGGTTTAAGGGCCAGGGTTTAAGGTCAGCATTAGGGTTAGGATTTAGTGTTACGAAGTCACTCGGGAGCCACTTCCTACAATTTTTATCTACGGCTACGTCTGATTGGCCACATTCTTGGGCGGTTCAGTTTCGATGACCTTGATGGGCCAATCACTCTTATTCTTCCTAGAATTGGTTTTATTGGTCACCTGAAGTGAATTTTTGCATTGCAAGCTACTTACGCGGCGGTTTTAGCACCTGCTAAGACAAACTAACATACTTACATACGCTACACGTGCTTCCCCTTTAGTTTTCTCACATTCTTCACTATTTCCCCTATCCCCTGTAAAGCATCTTTTACAATCGTTTCCGTATTGGACCCGTCTGGGTTTCGTCATTTCCCCTCAGGATCGCGTTTCCGAGCCTTGCCATTACTGCTGCTATTGCGAATAAATGGGAGTTCTTTTAAATTATGCAGAATACACTATTACTTTCAAACAGTCCTACCCCTTTAGTCAGTTAGTTTAGGAAGGGCATGCATTTTCGATCGAACATGCAGCTGAGCGGTAAGACCACCCTAAAAGTCAACAGGGGGCGTCAGTGGTTTCGACATAAAGTCGTCACGCCTGCGCGCGCGAGAGAGAATGTGGATTTATTTTGAGAAAAGAAAAAAACATTTTCGACGATGAACACATAAAAACGCCATTCTTCAACACAAGTGAAAAGTGAAAAATCGCTTGTTGTTAAACAGACAGGTATCCGCAAGAAAACCAGCTACCCCCAGCGGACTGGCGGCGTAGTCAGGAGATAGCGCCATAAATTAGCGCGAATACACAAAGGAGAAAAATCAGCTGAAGTCGGCCACTTATCCCGTTCCTGAGTAAACTCCGAAACACACCCAAGGGTAAAGGAGATGGGAGAAATGGCAGTCAGCTACCAAAAGTTTGCTGCTCTGACTCGGAACACCCCCATTTTTTCCATCAAACGCCACCGCTACTGATGGCAGGCGTTTAGCCAAAGTTCGCAAATATTTCAGGGCCTTTGGTTCACAGTGAAATTGAAGTACTTTCGTGCACTGTGCAAGAATATGGATGAGCAAAGTGCTGTTAATGCACTGATACGCTCGCAGCTCCAAACTTCGACTAGTCCTCCTGAGAAAGTGCTCAACTACAGCAGGTGGGCTAACTCATGAAATGTCAACAGAAATTCCGAAATGCGTTTTTGTCTCGAAAAGATTAATTAAGTAGAGTTGTGGAATAAATCGTCATGCAGCGTAATTTCATAAAATTTCAGTTACCTCAGGATGCCGGCTTCCGAATGAACTTCTTTCCGGCTACATGCAAAACCACACGCTGTAAAAAATGACTGCTTAAATAGCATGCATTTTTCTAATTGATTTTCGATGCTCTTAAATATTCACTTATATTTATTATGACAGTGAGCGCTCGCCGATCAGGTTACGGAACATGCTCGTTCCGTTGTGCCTTGGGGCTCATACTAGAACCCTCGCAGGCAGTCGCACAGCGACTAGTAGTACACACAGATGAGATGATACCGACAAAGACAAGGGAGACCGGAATGGCCATTTCTGGCTTATTAGCCGTCATCAGCCAGTCATACCCAACCCCAAGGGCCCGTGGCTCAATGGTAGAGCGTCAAACTCCATGACCAAAGATCCCGGGTTCGAATCTCAAGTGATCCACACTTGGGGTTGGGTATGACTGGCTGATGACGGCTAATAAGCCAGAAATGGCCATTCCGGTCTCCCTTGTCTTTGTCGGTATCATCTCATCACTTATATTTCATAGAAAACGGGGATAAAAATATTCATTCTCTTATTCATTCGGTAGAAAATGATGTTTTCTTCTAATTTTATACTCGCAGGCAGGGTATAATTCGGTTTTCAAAATCTTTTCTATTTCCCGAATAATTTTGAAACTGGCCTGCCGTTACACTTGCAGTTAAGGGTTTCCAATCTACAAGCCGTATACTTCCCGCGTACGGAAATCCTTACATTTATCTACGGTATTAAGAGGAGACTATACGAGGTTCATAAAATTTAGCAGTGGGTTTAAGCCATCTTGTTAACTTTACGAGATATATTGGTAAATGCAGAAACATGGCATTTTATGAACGACCATTTCATGGTATTAGAAAATCTCACAATTGGAAACTTTTTTAAAACTGAATTATAACTTTTCTTCGAGTATAAACTGAAAGAAGACGTAATTTCCTACCGAATGAGCAGAATAATAAATATATTTATGCATGTTTTCCATGAAATATAATTGAATATTTAAGGACATCGAAAATCAATGAGAAAAATGCATGCTACTTAAGTAGTCGTTTTTACGGAGTATAGTTTTTGCATGCGGCCAGAAATAAGTTCGTTTTAAAGCCGGCATGTTCACGTAACTGAATTATTATAGAATTATGCTGCATGATGATTAGTTTCACAACCCTATCTAATTAATCTTTTCGAAACGAAAACGCATTTCGGAATTTCGGTTGACATTTTATGAGTTAGCCCACGTAAAGTATGTTTTTAGCAACGTTTGTTTGATCGCTTAAAAAGTGGGAGGTGTGGACTAGAAGTCAAGCGAAACCCAACCTTCTCAGCATTCTTCTTCGGTAACTTGAAGTAGAATTGAAGGATCACAGGCCCAGTCCGATGGTTAACATGAATATTTGAGCCGAAATATTCATAAGTTGCCAACGGTACAGATGTTGCATGATTAACCATTCTGACTGCATAGCCCAGACACGCATGTTTCGCCGATAGAGAATCACGTCATCATTATAGTTCATACTCGAAGTGGGAGTATAATTAGGTTTTAAAAGTTTTCTAATTCCCGAATTATTTTGAGCCTGATCAGTCGTTGTATTAGTGCTTAGTGAGTCCAGTCTACAAGGTATGTGCATTCCGCGTAAAGAAAATCCCACATTCTTCTATGCCTTTGGAAAGATATCATGTAGAGTCCATAAAATTTTGCAATGGATGCGGACAATGTTCTAAATTTCACGAGGAGCAGTGGTAAACATACAGGTATGATACGGCATGAATGGACATTGCACGGTCTTAAAAATATCATAATTGGAAACCTTTTTAAAACCTAATTATACTCCCTCTTCGAGTATAAAATATAATGATGATGTGATTCTCTATCAAACGACTGGAAGAAAGCATATTTTTGCTCGTGGTTTCCATAAAATAAATTTGGATTTGCAAGACCATTGAAAATCAATGCGAAAAATGCATGCCACTTAAGTAGTCATTTTTTACCAACTATAGTTTCTAAGGGGGATTGAAAAGCGGTACATTCAAAAGCTGACATCCTGCCAAGTCCGAAATATTATAGGAGTATGCGGTGAGATAAGCAATATTACGACCGCGCCTAAGTAATCCGTCTGAATCGAAAACACATTTCAGAATTTCAGCCAACGTTTCAAGAGATCGGTCATTCACTCCAGTTGGATCAAACACTAGAGGAAGGAGTAGATCGCCTGTATTGCCGCGGGTGCATTCTGGCAGACTTTGCCGAAAATACTGGGCAGATAGTTGCGGGTATTGTGTAGACAAGATGTCTACACATGCCGCATGATTTAATCTACTGACAACACAGGCACTAGCTGAAGCCCAGGCACGCGTTTTTCGCCGATATTCTGCAGATGCATGGCACAGTTGTGTGGGCTTTCTCTCACCAATGGCCCCCCTCCCGTGTGTTTTATGGAACATACTCCAGTTTCGTAATTTCAGCTTTTCCATCTGCTGAGAAGTCAATGCACTAACTTGGTTTGAGTCATTTTAGATGAAGTGTTATACGGTCAGTTAGAAAGTCTATATGAATAGTCGAGCCGAATTCCCTCATTTTCACAGAGATAACCGCATAATACTCCTATGCTGGCAAAAGGCTGTCCGTAGTATAGAGATGTTGCGGGATTTGCCACACTGAGAGCACAGGTACTTCCTAGGAGTCCCGACATTCGTTTCTCCGACAATCTACCGCTGGATAGCACATCATCAGTGAGTCTTCTAGCGTTTCCCGCGTGTTTTCTCCGAGATGCAAGAGCTCCGAATTTTCAGCTTCCTAGTCTGCTCAAAAGCTATTGCGATAAATGAATGAAGCTTTGTACGCTGAGCAGTAAAGTTGATAAATCATGTAGTATGTTTGTACTACTGGCTACCTGTTAACAATTTATGGACATTATGCGGTTATTTAGATTTAATAAGCGGAAGTCGGCTCAAATGTGTATATCTCCTTTCCCGTACGTTAGGAATTGTAGAGGTACACTTTTACTCGATTATTGACTCTGCTTCTAAACCAACAACTTCCATTTTATATGGATACAAAGTTTCCGAGGTTTGAAATATTTCTTCCTTAACAATTATAGGAATTACAAAAATACCCCTCGTAAAGGATATTTAAGTGTGCGGAACGTGTTCCATAAAAAGAACATTTAATTAACTTGACGGTAACCAACGCCGCCTATGTTCTCAGTCGTTAAACTTTGGAAAGGGCCATTTTGAACAAAGTAAGTACAGAACTCTAGACCTTCATCGGCTTTTTGTTGAGGCGACTTAACTTTTCTGGTTCCTCGAGCCAATTTACAATTTTAATTGGGAGGTCATCGATGAGAAGAGAACGGACGGCGATTTAAGAGTTGACAAAATTCCTACATAGCGGGAAGTTACTATTTAGTCCCGAGAAGAAAAAGTGCAAGGATTTAAGACAATTTCCTAGTAAATTTATCTCTCAGACTCTCCTCGTCAAATTACCAGGTGAATATCAGTGTGAAAACAAGGTCGGTCGTTTCTTCAGCTGTGTAATTTCAAATATAAATAACAATTTCTAGCACATATATACAGTAACAACGTACAGTAAACCTGTGAAAAGACGATTGAAATAGGCGCCATCTTTCAGGAACTTTTGCTCAAAAACGCATCCAAGAATCTGTATTGGAGACGTCGCTGGGTCTGTTCAGAACCGGACTTCTGTGGCAGCTTTAATTATTTAACCTTTCCCTCATGTCATAAGTCTACCGGTTTTGGAGACACCGGCTGGTGAAGAGGGAGAGCAGTACGACATGAAACGCAATCACACTGCCAGTCAGCGAAAGCACGAACGACCACGAGTCGATGAAAATGAAAGCGTAGAGGATATTGCCTGCCAGCATTGCGGAGACACCTACGGCGTTGAAAAGGACCCTAAGGGTGGCACACACCTGACCCGGCAGCCAGGAGTCACTGCAGACGCCACACACATCAGTGATGAAGACTACACTGACGATGAAGAGGCCTCCGCAGAACAAAACCACCGAAATGAGCTGCAACAGGTTAAGCAGGCAGATTGAGAAGAAGTAACCGCAATTCCAGTAGGGCAGAGCCAGCGAGGTGATGCATAATCCGATCGCTAGACAGCTCAACGGTAGGATGAGGAGACTGACATTCATGCTAGTTGGTGCACACTCCAACTCTAGGGTGGGTAAATGTAACTAGAAGGAGTTGCTGCAAGGTTGACCTGTGAGAACGCAAAGAAGGACTTCAGATGACACGCATTTCACAAGAAACAGCCTGGAGAAGCCTTCAGTTTCCGTCTCCGCTCTGTTTCTACGGCGGCATGTGCTCGCCGAACGACCTTGCTGCACTGCTCTGGACTGGAGTAGGGAGGCCTGGCCCGCATAATTCAGCACGGACCCCGATTGGCGCTGCCAGGAGGACATGTGGCCAGCCAACCAGTAGAAGCGTCAGCACACACACGCAGGCACAGGCGGCGCGACATACTCACAGTAAACTGGTATGGCGGGGGGGGGGGAGAGGTCAGTACAACACAGTCTCTTAACTGTCGACCCCACTGCAGAAGGACAGCGCAACAGAAGAGGGTAAATACATTAGCCTCGGGCACATGCATACGCGTACGCACATGATGATCCGTGTTGGCGCACAACTTCACCTTGGTTCACTTACAGTTGCGTTGTTTTTGTGCACAAAACTGAATTCTCACAGTAGATGCGTAGACCTGCGCGTACTGGGTGCTGATCAGTCGGCAAGGGCGCCATCCAGTCCAGCAAAATTACTGACGAGGACAAGGGCTACTGCAGAGAGAGAGATTTGGCATGTGTGCGGTTTTTCGTCAGTCGTAAGCCAACCTCCCTGCCCCTCTCCCTCCGCCAGAGGACTGTAGATCCGAGTCTTGATCTGTTTCGTTACGTCAGACCAGACATTCAGCTTCCCAGCCAACTTGAGTTAGGAGGCCTGTGAGCCCTCACCGGGATCGTATCTTTCAGTTGGTTTACACATCCGACAGACAGAAGCAAAGAGACGAGTACCAGGAAACAGTCTTGAAGAAGGCGACACGAGGAACATCGGGATGCAGTCTTCCCGGACATACAATATACGATAGACGAGGAAGAGAACAACCAGCTGGCCTTCCTAGATTTCCTTATATGCCGCAAAAATTGTGGTAGACTAAGGACCAAAGTGTTCAGTAAAGCGAAAAATACGATGCAAACACAGAACTTCAACAGCAACCACCCAATCAGCCACAAACGCAGTTGTGTAAGGACGCTCCATCGGCGTGTCGAAACGCACTGCAGTGAGCCGGAAGACAAGATTGCTGAACAACAATATCTCCGACGGGTCTTCAAAGCCAATGGCCACCCGCGCAGCTTTGTCAACCGGTACATACCTAGAAGGGACGAAAGGCCTAACCGCACGGACACCAAATTTTGGCGAGCGCTTCCGTATGTCCAGAACGTTTCGGAAACTGTCGGCCGCCTTCTCGCACCACTTGGGGTTGGAGTTGCACACAGACCGGAGGCAACCATCAGGCGTCAGGTAATGAAACCGAAAGACCCTTTGCTACGGCAAGAAACGTCTGGAGTCGTTTATTGGATCTGGTGCAGTTGTGGACAAAGCAACTACGTCGGAGAAACCGGAAGACAGCTCCGAACGCGAATGGTCGAACACGTTGCAGCGGTGCGGAGAAATGACGCTAGCTCTCAAGTTGCGGCTCATTCAACGAGATCCGGGCATACATTCAAATTTGACGAGGTCTAAATTTTTCGCAATAGGTGACAATCGCAAGAGCCGGGAACTGCTTGATTCATGATTTACTGGCCCCCAGTCTACTAACATGTGCAACGATCTTCCCATTCAATACAGCGTGCTGAGACTTCGCCTAGGCGGAGTAATTGGCCACGCGGGGAGCGCACTGGTGAACACTCTTCCCAACACCCGGGTCAGCGCGTCAGGTGGTCGAGCCATCCTCACACTAACATCCAACGCACGTGATGAACTTGCAGCAATTAACGACGCAAATGTCGGCCATCACACCACGCGCGACGATCCCTGATTAAGGGGGGCGGGGAGAGCCGTGAATATTCATAGGTATGCGGTAACATGGCTACTGCATCCTATAAACACTGCAGTCCCTTGTGCATGAACCACCCCTATCTGCTTTTGTCTGTGATGATGGGTTCGTGCAGGAATCCGAAACGTCAGGTTAATAAAGCTCTCTTCCCAGCGATCGTGTCTCCTTTTTCTAGGCAATGTTTCGAACGGCACATCTTCACACATCTCATCCCTTGGGGTCTTCGTGGTGGGCAACTCACGCGACGGTTCAGTAAACAAGTAGACTGAGAGATCGGCAAGTTCTGTCATATCTGGCTACTTTTTTATTGATAAATACACGTGGTATCATGTTACTTGGCGGAGTAATCATCCACACCTTACGCAGCTAAGTCTTCGAGCTGATGGTTTGGCATCTCGCCACGAGATAAAAGGGGATAAATTTCATGCTGTTAAGTCCACCATAAGAGTATTTGGGTTCTAATTTAGTCAGCAAAAACCGAAACCTCCCACCCATCCCTAACCGATCCAGTCGACCATGTCAGATTTGGAGTGGGGATATCAAGATACTGAACGTCTATCCACGTCCATGTAAAGGATTGGTACTTGCATAGATAATCAAACAGACTCAGAATTTCCCTTCAGATCATGTATCTTTCCCTGTGGTCTTTATTTAGATTTTTTCTCCATTGTAACAAAGTTGTAGAAATCTAATGCAAAGAACTAGAATTCTTGAGAATTTTGCGTCCCTACTTGCAAAATTTCAAACCGCAGTCAAAATAGCGCGTTCTTAGTAAAAAGAACTCCTGTAAATGGAATTCAAACCAGCCAAAAGAAAAAAATTGCAAATCTCTGCGTGAGCGCCTTTGGACCGCTCGAAGGTCTTGATTGGATGAAGAAGCCAACGAGGTAGGCACGCACTTTTTCACTTAACAATTATCAGACTTTTCTAAACCTTCTGCACAGAAATAGACCTTAAGATGACCAACGTCTTTCAGGGCGTCCAATTTTGAACTATAATAGCGCGTGATTTCCGGCAGTTCAGCGCAGAAAAAAGGATGGAGGAACTTCGCTCGCTATCGACTGATGTTCTCTGACGGTAATGACCTCAGACAGGAGAAACAGATTATTTTCCGTTGTTGTTGCTACTGAATTGGCGTCAGTTCCGTTTTCCGACTTTTCTACCACAAACTTCCCTAAATAGTGAATAAAAAAGAATGATGGGCGAAGTTTGGTCCGGCAGCCCCACCTGAGTGATAACACATGATTAGCTTTCTAAAAAATTTTGTAAATGTGAATACGCCGACTTTACAAACATTGCGTTTTTGCATTTTCCTTAGCATTTTAATTCAGCGAGTGACTGTGCCACGGAGGGAAGGAGTGCTTATACGCAAGCCTCGGTTACGTCAAGTATCAGCTCACACGCGCTTCTCTGCGCGTGCTTCGATCACGCTTGCACCCTCTTTATTATCTCAGTCCAGCGAGTGGCTAGGTAGGCTTGCTGATGGAATTGTTCAGACGGTGCGGAACTCCGTCGGTTCCACCACAGTGATCATGCACTGCGAATTGCCACGCGGTTCCCACCGTGACCTTCCAGTTGTGATTGGGCCCGAAGTATCCTCTCAATCCAGCGAGTGGCTGTGCCGGAGGGGAAGAGTGTGTACACGCCACCTTCACTCGCTTCCCTGCGCATGCTTCGAGATCTGCTTGCGCTCCATTTCCCTTCCTAACCCCGCGATTGGCTAAATTAGGTATGTTAATTTATGTTGTTTTAGTAAGCCAACCATATTGCATCACTCGTGTGGGGCTACATAACCAAACCTCGCCGAATGACGCTGTACGAGGTGTGCATTTAGTGTAGATCTCAGCCAAATGGAACTGAGAAGACAGCTTCTATACGCTGAAGGGAGTTCCGATAGAGACGAGGGCTACTACGATAACTATTTAGGGACTATTAGCCAACCGTACCTGAGCCCGGGTTTGGGGGCATCTGAAACTCCAACCCGTGTTCCATGACCATCAGGCCTTCTGAGGGTCGACGCCTTAACCATGGCAACTGTCAAGGCAGGGGGTCGTATCGGTTGCAAACGGCGATAATAGGGGCGTTGATCCTAAGGACGCTCGATGGCTAAGTAACGCGGGTTAGAGCCTCATGTGGTCTCAAACCCCGGCTCTGGTACTGTCGGCTGACAACGGCTAATAATTTAAAAGTAGTCGTCTCAGTATTCCTTGCTGCTGAAAGTGCCCCCTTATCTGCCTTCAAGGGCTCTACGTTGAGCTCCACGGCACAACGGGGCAAGCTGGTCCTGTTACCTGATCAATGAACGCACCTCCAACATAAGTTTGCTATGATGTATTCCGGCACCCATTGGATTGACAACGAAGGTGTCCCTCTCTGTCCTCTTGTGTTATCTACGGTTCCCTTATGATGTCCATAATTTAAAACGGTGGAATAATTTCTCAGATGCCGACACTGACATCGGAATCTGGAGCTCTCGAAGCCAGTGATTAGCTTCCGCTCCGGCTGAAATTTTCATGGTTCATGCGAGTTAAAAGGGAGACCTATTGCCCTCAGTTCGACGAAGCTGCATCATTCACTTAGCCTTTTCAATAGTCTGAAATCTCATCTGGGACATGGACGCCTAGACAACCGAATGAAGGTAAGCGCTCTCGAAAAATCCAAAATGGTGGATTTGGTTGGTATTGCATAGCCTAATGCTTACATGTTCAAATTCGAGGTCCCGATAGGACACGGCTTCCAGTACCCCCTTATTACGGGTAACATTACGTCAAAATCCAGGCGGGAGGTAAGGATCAAAGTTAGGACACCGGAGTGCGTACCTATCTGGGGATTTGGCCTAAGGCCACCAGCAGTACGGGCGCACTTAGTTCAAACTGGAATCCCTTACGTCGGGTCGGTCCCCGAATATCAATTCTGCTAAGAGCGTTTAATGTCTCCTGACACTAGAAGGCAACAAATATAATCTGGATGACCGTCTTGGAGTCATCACAACGCATGTGGCATTGGCCGCTTTGTCAGCGTGTATGTTTTCCGCCCTTTAAGGAAACGTCACATGATTGGCACGTATTCACCAGCTGACAGTAGATTCAAGGGTAGGGAGGGTGGCGATGGGCACCTTTATTCGACAGGGTTGTTTATTTCTCCCGATGCGAAAAAAAGAGTGAAAATATGTTAACCAAATTCTATCTACATAATCATGGTAAATTCTTCCTATCATATTTGAGTTCCTTTGATTAAAAACAGACATGGGAGTCTTCGGAGGGCCGAAATCAATTGTAGCACCGTAAATACAAATATTGTCCTTTAGCGGAGCAACAAAACTCGTGGAATTATCTTCTTTCATCATAGTTCGAAGGGTAAGAGTGCAGACCATACGTTATCCATGGAATTAGTGGATTATACAACGGAAGATGAAGAAAAAGAAGAAAAAAAGAAGGCATAGTAACTTTCTAGGTATGTCTGAGTTTGTCCGGGTGACGATGGCGTATAAATTATTTTGGCCCAACTGTGAAAAAATTGGCGACCTCGGTGGGATTCAAACCCACCCAGATGTGATTCAACCCTAAATGTCATTAAACTGACTGCTCAGTTGGCTATGGCGTTGATTAAACTCAAGTCTTCCATTTTCTGTCCCGCGTTTGAATACCATCAAGGTCGCCCAGTTTTTCACAGTTTGGCCGAAATAAATTATTCGAAATCTGCCAAAACACCTAATAAGACGCGGAATAAATCGAAAGTGACTATCATAGTCTCATTTGTCTTTGTCGGCACTTCTCCACATGTATTTCTGGCCGACATACAGCTATCTGCAGTAATTGTGCCGCCAGGCCCAAAGGGCAGCTGATAGGACAACGAATCCATGGCTCAGTTGGTAGAGTGGTGAACCTAACGCTCGATGACCGATGAGCGTTGGTTCGGATCCCAGGCTCTCCAGACCTGCGGTTGAGTATCGCCCACTGACGACAGAACATAAGCCAGAAATATTCATTCTAGTCTCCCTTGTCTTTGTCGGTCCACCTTTCTCGGCATGCATTGCTGATTGATATACGAAGGCCCTGGGGCGCCAGGGAATGTGCACATCCCGTAACCCGTCATGATAGTTTTTAGTTTACGTCGTCTCCATTCGACACTGCCCCAAATCGGGAATAGCTGAGACACTACCTAGAGCGCAGTCCGTCCTAGAGACTAACGTTGTGCTTGTTGAGTCAAGCTTTCCTTCTCTATCGATGGTCACCTATCTGGTTGTCGTTTCTAACTCATTTCTTTCTCAAAGGTAGCAAACAGTAGCACTATCCAGGACACATGCCTTAGCTTCCCTTTGGCCTGTTAGGAATTCCCTACTCAACCAGATATCTTATTGCGCTGTAACCCGCAGGCTGTTCGAATCAAAACAGAACTGGTGTGCTCTTCGTTTCCACAGACAGCTACACCGATTGCCGCCCTCTGTGCGAGTGCTTCGTCCTCCCTCTTATCGGCTTATCGCCTGCGAGGCAGCGGTACGAGCACAATGCCAACCCGCGATCCAAAGTCCCCATGTAGTAGCAATGACCGGAGGCAATAGCAACTGCGCAGTAATATGTGTATGTGAGCGCCTGCATGTGTGTATACAGACCAAAAATGGTACAAACACCCACGCCAATGCAGGCACACACACACACACACACACACACACACACACACACACGACATTCTGGTGAGCATCCACAACGGCAGCAGCAGCAGCAGCATCCAGGACAGTGTAGCATGAGGGTAATATATGAGCTCCAGAAAAACGATCTGACCTGACATAAGGCACATGCACGCGCGCGCACACACGCACACACTTGCTGTCCAGAATCTATGATGCAAAAGGTGAGGAATGAGAAAAAAGTACCTCGTTCAGCCGGTATGTGAACGAGGAATTAAAAAGGTAATTGTTCGGAAGACGGCGTAGTTACCATTGTGAGTAAACAGGATCAGAGGGTCAAGAAACAGTGTGACGTAGTCCGCGAGATTGTATATATTATATATATACATTTACTCAGAGATGGGCGTATACTAATTCATTGGATTCCTGAAGCAAACAAGCTTTATACATACATATACCGATAAGGTGATACCGCCAAAGACAAGGGAGACCGGAATGGCCAGTTCTGGATTATTAGCCGTCATCAGCCAGTCATACCCAACCCCAAGTGTGGATCACTTGAGATTCGAACCCGGGATATTTGGTCATGGAGTTTGACGCTCTAACATTGAGCCACGGGCCCGTTGTCCCTAATATTATATATATTTATATACATCAAGGGGAACGACAGAGCCTGCGAGTAGAAACTTGTTTGCTTTGGGAAGCCAATGGATCGGTGGGCACTAATTCCTGAGTTTATATATATAGATATATACGTATGCACTGGAAGATGGGCATCCCAAGAAACAAAATTCGAAGAAGAATGAGTTCTTTGGGAAAATGAATAAACTGGTGAGCATCCACAACGCAGCAGCAGCATCCGGGACAGTGTAGCATGAGGGTAATATATGAGCTCCAGAAAAACGATCTGACCTGACATAAGGCACATGCGTGCTCACACACGCACACACATACTTGCTGTCCAGAATCTATGATGCAAATGGTGAGGAATGAGAAAAAAGTACCTAGTTCAGCCGGTATGTGAGCGAGAAATTAAAAAGGTAATTGTTCGGAAGACGGCGTAGTTACCATTGTGAGTAAACAGGATCAGCGGGCCAAGAAACTGTGACGTTTTTCAGTCGACCCAGAGTGCTCACAAGTAGACCGCGAGATCATATATATTATATATACATTTACACAGAGATGGGCGCATAATGATTCATTGGCTTACCGAAGCAAACAAGCTTTATATATATATATATATAATAGTAGGGGGCGCTCACCGATCGTTCATACGGAGCTCACTCGTTCCGTTGTGCCTTACGGGCTCTCTCTCGAGCCCAACCCGGACATAAATGAGAAGAAGAGGCGATCTCGGTAACCATGATTGTATTGTCCTGACGTTTCAAAGGCAGACAAGCTTTCATCGTCGGAGGTGAGTATCGTACGGCATCACAGTATTTATAGGATGGGGATAGATATCAGTCATGCTAACACGGTGGTAATTATAGGGGGGAGTGGTTAATCGGCTTGGGCGCTAATGGCCCGCATACGCACCGGGATCGTCTCTGTAGTCGCAGGGGCAGAGCGGGAGGGAGGGTGACTGCTGTCAATCGGCCTGTCTCTCGTCGGGGGGCGGCATTTGAACGTAGGTGGCCATCGCCCGCATTCGCGTTGACCTTAATTGTCGTACTGGGTTGCTAGTCTTGATTGCATCCCTCTGACCGCGTTTCTCCCCGTCTGCCGGAGTAGTAGTGGAGGCAACAGTATTGATGACTGCGTCTTCGTCGGGCCTGATTTGTGGTGTGGCTACGTGTAGGTCCGTCGTAGGCTCTCCCGTGTTTGGATTCACGTCCGGCCCGACTTTGCGCCTGCTCTTTAGTTCGTTGAAGGCAGTGGGTACGCATCGATCAGGTTGCGGAACATGACTGTTCCGTTGTGCCTTTGCAGCTCATACTAGAACCCTCGCAGGCAGTCGCACAGCGACTAGTAGTAGACATAGATGAGATAGAGCCGACAAAGACAAGGGAGACCGGAATGGCCATTTCTGGCTTATTAGCCGTCATCAGCCAGTCATACCCAACCCCAAGTGTGGATCACTTGAGATTCGAACCCGGGATCTTTGGTCGTGGAGTCTGACACTGTGAGCGCCGGTCTCCCTTGTCTTTGTCGACTCCATCTCATATATAGATATATGTAGACGATAACGGACACCATCATCAGGCTATTCCAATATAGTAAAACAATTCGCTGCAGTAGAAGCCTAACGAATGGGGTCGTTTTTCTGGATGATGCCCTATTGTTGTATGTATGCGTGATGAAACAATGGGCGCAAACTGAAAGTGCATCCGGCCGATGTGAGTACGTTTTCTGACGTCCCCTGCAGGGTTACCCTTTAACATCTCAAATGTGTGGTACAATCCAAGTCAATTATGACGTTTTTTGAAGCACGACGACCTAGAGAACAATTTTACCTTCGCCCTGAAATAAGTAAAAGTCGTGGGCGAAAATAAATGTGCATAGACTACGTTTATACACCACCCAAGAATACTTAATCGGAAATATTCCAGTAATTGGGGGTTGCTCAGATGTCATTTCCTTGTGACATGCAGAGGCAGTTACATGTTTCCACAATTTATGCATAATAATTGAGTTGTATGTCTCTACTCACACTACAGAAATGGCAGTAATACCTAACACGTATTAAGCATTTCTAAATACTGAATCGTGAGGAAACTTATTTCCCCCAAATTAACAAAGGGAACCATCTTTCCGTTCTTCACTTCCTGGAAAAGTTATAAACGTAAATAATTAGAGAAGACCATAGTGGAAGTATATGTGCTACTTTAGGGGCGAGTTCTTTGCGGCTATGACAAAAATCGATGGTTGAAAAGGCCACCAATAGGAAGCCAGCAAACCAGAGCAACGACTCAACCTCGCCGGTTCTCCGCGCGCCCCACGACTCCTTCTGTGAATGCTGCGCGAGTCTCCATGCAAACCGACAGCTTCCGGAGGCGTTTCTTCTACCAGAAGCAAAAACGTCCTCCTTCAGAGACCCAGTTATGCGTCTCTACTGCAGATCTACGTACCACAAAAACTGTCTCCTAACAAACCTGATAGGCTGACTGGTCGGGGAAAGGCTGGGCGAGTGAGGTGAGTTTTTACGTCTTTTCCCTTTTTTGCTTTCAGGATAGGACCGGTCATATTTGCATCATTTCCTCCTCCTCCTCCTCCTCCTCCTCCTCCTCCTCCTCCTCCTCCTCTTCCTCCTCCTCCTCCTCCTCATCCTCATCCTCATCCTCCTCTTCCTTCTCCTACTCTCTCTTTTTCTTTCTCTCTCTCTCTCTCTCTCTCTCTAACACACATACGCACACAGTCCACTGAGCATGCATCGTACGACAAGGCGTCAGTGCTGTGAACGGAAGCGATGACTGCAAAACCGCCGGAAGAACGCGTCTGATGACATCGAACTATTTTCAACCCCTCTGGTTCGCATCTACATACTGCGCGATGCCATCCACAGAACGAACCATTTTCCCTTAACCGGCCCACCATAACGCATATTCGAAAACAAACAGAAACTGTTTTCAAGCGTCACGAAACACGGAGTCATTCTGTGTGTAGTTTGCAAATCTGCCAGTCCTCATTATTCTTAGATTCCTAGTTTTAAGCCTGATAAGAGTGGCTACCGCTATCATGTGAAACAATAATCGAGATTCTAGAATGCAATTTTGGCCAGAAAGTACTGTTTGAGTGGAACTCTAATATTTATAAGCATGTTGTATAATCCCAAGATGTTGTAATCACGCAATGATGCCAGTATTTGAATGCGCGTCTTCCGATTGCCATAAATGAGGACTAAATAAGAATGGAATATCTCAACTGATTTTCAATACTTTTAGCAATTCAAACATATGTTATAGAAAACAAACCCCAAAAAATCCCTTTTCATGTTCATTTGCATTAAATTATGTCAATGAGATACCTTAAAGATTTAACGTTTATAAATTCCCGAAGGATTTCGAAATTGATCTGCCGTTTTATTTGCGTTTTCTGGTTTCCAGTCTGTAAGCTGCACACTTTCTAACTGGCAGGTCGCGGGATCGAGCCCCAGGTGTTCCACACTTCGAGGTTGGGTATGACTGGCTGACGACGACTAATAAGTCAGAAAGGGTCATTCCACTGTCCCTCTTGTCCTTGCTGGCAATAAAATTCTGCACACTTTCTGTTTAAGGAAATTCACACCTTCCTCTACTCTGTTAAGTAGGTTCCATGTGCAGCTTATTAGATTATGCAATGGATGTGGACAAAATGTGGATCTGCTACCAAAGGTATTCAGTTGCACGAAGATACCAGCTCTATCACAAGCTTCTTCCCGACCTCTTGCAAAAACTCCACTCTGTAAAAAATGAGCACTCACGCAGTATGAATTTTTATTTTTAATTTTCAAACCCATTTTAACTCCAAATATATGTATTTTATGGAAGCAAGCATAAACATGTTCGTTCTTTTACTCTTTTGGCGACACATCGCGCCTTTTTTAAATTTCAAACTTAAAAAAGAGTATATTTCGCTTTCAAAAACCTTCGGATGGTGGTAATTTATATGATCTTAAAACGCCCATTTAGAAAACGTCGTATCTCTAGGTTTGCTAATATTGCTTACAAAGTACTCAGTAGGGCTCTTATTGATTGTGAAATTTATGAACCACATATGACGTCTTCTTTATAGCATATAGAAATGTACGATTTTCCTTAGAGGGAAAATAAACAGCTTACAGACTGAGAACCCTAATACAAGTATAGCGCAGGGCGAGTTCAGAATTATCCGGGAATTGAAAGGGTCTTAAATGCGTTAGACACCATTTCTTAAAATATACACTTTGAAGAGGATCGTATTTGCTATCAAAAGAATTCGAAAAAAAGAATATTCTATGCGTGTTTTTTGTATGATTTATTTTAATTTAACGTGGCATCAAAATCAGTGGGAGACATTCGTACTACTTGAGTAGTCATTTTTTTACAGAGTGCAGTTTTTGCAGGCGGTCGGAAAGGCACTCCTTCAAAAGCCGCCATCCCGAGGTGACTAAAATATCTTTGGATTACGTTGTACGGCAATTAATATCACACGGCTGCCTAAGTAATCCTTTAGAGCCGAGAACATATTTCAGAATTCCGTTTCACGAGATAGCACCTACTGTATGGAATGGCGTGGCGGCCATGGCAGCGCGCTCGCGTCGAGGACACTGGCCGTGCGTGCGTGCTCGCGTGCTCGCGTGTGTGCACGCGTCCTAATTGAGTAATCGTCGTCGCAGGAAGCCAGCTGGCTACTGACCCCATGGGCCGTCCCCCCCCACAAAATCGGGGTGGTGGACAGGCTTTTCTCAGTATGCGGGTGGCCACCTCAACGGCCGCACTGCCTAGCCGTCTGTAAGGCACCCGAGCAGTCCGCGCCAGCACCCTAGTTACCGTCGGCATTCTGAGACAGAAGCTGGCGGTGGCAACCTTGGGGGGAGCCAGTTGTCGTATCGTGAGGTAGACAGAAGCAAGCGGCTCTCAGCTGGCCGGTGGCTAGCAGTTCATGCGTGCTCTAGGAAACTGCAAGAATGGAAGACGGTTGTCCGACCTCCTCCTTTGAGGTAGCGTCTGACAGGTTTATTGGTTCTCGAGTCACCGGCCAGTGTGCGTCAAAAGAAGCGCGAAACTACCAGTGAAGGGCTTGATTATTATTATTATTATTACTAGTATTCAAAGTTTAATTAGCTTCTCATTAACCGATTTATCCGGACTGCAGACCTCAGCACGTGCGATTTAGTTTTGTCTTGGAGTTCCATCGCGTAACCCCTACAAACGGTAGCGTGTCTCAACCATCAACCAATAGCCGGGTGTTTCGGCTGATAAAAACAGACCGCTAAAAATGCCCACAGGTTTTGTAAGTAATACATCTTTTCTGGGTACTCGTTGCAATTCTGCTTGCGTCGGGTCAGTAATTCTGTGGCTGAACGGGATCAAAAAGGAGTCAAGATGTCGCCATTCCTCACCACACCGATATGATTGAATTGTTCCTCCAAGCCTCCAGCTTCTTCAGAAGGCGTCGAAAGGTTCGTGAGGGCGAAAAAGCGCCTGTCGGCCAGTCTTGGAGGAGCGCTGTGGCGTCGAGACGTGAATCGAACAGGTGTCTTGCGGTTTTGGCAGAATAGATTAGGGTAAGTTATTGCTGCTTGGTTACAAATCAACAGATGGAGAAGGATTTTGCAGGTAGCCCTTGAACAATGAAACTTTTCTGGTCATTTTTAGTCGTTAATTTCCCATCATCATCTAAGGCCTGCAGACGCAAGCGATACCGACATCGGGGGTCATGCTCTGTAGAAACTTCCATGTCAATAGGCAAATCGGTATTTTGTCAAACGCATGCGACGCTGCTGTGCTGTTCGCTCCCCATAAATCTCCTTCCGGGTATCAGAGTTGCTACGACCACGCTGTTTTTCGCATAAGATACAAACTTTTTTCCTCTCCAGTTAATAGATAAGGGTGTGTCATTTTCAGCGTAGCGCTTGGTTTCGGTGGGGTTGCATGCTAGAAAACATGGTTGGTGCCACGAGCTGACATCGCCCCCCTGTGATCGGTTTTGGACATTGACAGAGGGACACGCCCCAAACGCGTTACCGAACCCACTCGTACCGTTGTGCCTTGGGGACCTCTCTAAGACCCCGCAAGCAGTCGCACAGTGGCGCGTACTATAGGCAGAGTGATATTACCAACAGGGACAAGGGAGACTGGAATGGCCATTTCTGGTTTGTTAGCCGTTGTCAGCCAGTCATACCCAACCCCGAAGTGTAGAACACCTGCGGCTCGAACTCACGACCTGTTAGTTAAAGTTCGACGTCTTTAACCACTGGATCACGGGCTCGTTGGCTTGACGTTTGGGATCGGGTATATTACCAAGATACGTTTCCGAGTCATATAGTCCAGTCCTGAATTGACTGGTCCCAACAGACAAGCATATAGTGACAGCCTAGGTCGAGAGAAGGCTATAGCCACTAAAACCTTCAAAAGAGGTCGTGCGTAGAAAGAGTTAAGCGTAAGTACAAGGAGCATTGTACTCTGTACAGAACGGAGGAAGGATAGTTGACATCTGCACTATAGACGCACGTCCGGTGCCGCTGGAGAAAGCGTCCCAGACTTGGGGTTGGTTGGCCAGTTTGGGTAGCTGCGATTGACTGAACACCGCACAGAGCCTCTTGGTTTCAGGGATTGGCCAGACAAGCAATTGCTGATGGCAAGTGCGTGGCAGTATGTGCCAGACAGAGACGCAACGTCGCACCAGATGCCGGGAGTAAGGTCAATAGAAGCACAGGTTATCAGTTAACACCCCACAGGTGTCTTTCTGCACTTGCCTTCGTTTTTTGGGTTAATATGTACGCACACAGCCGCTCTGTATACTTGGTTTGCCATTCATAATGTATTTATGAAAATATGAAGGTGATAGCACAGCCTACTTGCTCAACGGCAGTGAATGCGACTTTTACATCAGGGCAATTGCTATCAAAGACCATTTCGTAAGGTTGCCTTTATAAGTTGAAATAATGAGCCAGACCAGATGCTTATATTGTTTTTAAAATTGAACTAATTGTCGGTCGGCGGATTGGTTGATATACTTTCTTACCAAATCCCTTTCTCGTAGCAGTGTAGTCTTATTTTCATTGATAAACAACATCGACAGTGACGTTACAGTTCCGAATTGTAAGAGTTATTTTCAGTTATTTGCTCAGAAACATAAAATCCGCTTATCCTGATATTGGTTTCAAAGTTTGGGTCTCCAGTCCTTATTTAACGAATATGTTTGTTTGCTTCCAGGATTTCTTCTCTATCTTAGGTGTTGCCGCGTTTGGCGTTCTAGGGACTGCAGCAGGGGCATTTATTCGGCGCAAAACCCCCTACTAAAACAATAAAGTAGACGTTTTAATTAGACTGAATAAATGACCATGTTGAAATTTGTCGCACCTCAGTGGCGATACAAGACCCGGGGTAGTCAGCAAGGCTTTAGTCTGACGTCGAAGAGTAAAAACAAGGTTAAGGCGAGGAAGTGTGCCTCTACGTACGGTGATTAGTTGTTATTGAGCTATAGGTTCGCTTGAATAAATGCAAATATCCTGATGTAACGAACTATTTACACGTCTAAACTCAAACAGACTTAAGAAGAAGGAAAGTGGTGCTTAGGCCGGGTTTGGTGGGGGTGCCACCGGCTAATGCCTTACGAACTATCTCTGCGAATGCAACAGTTATTCACTTTGATCCTATGTTTATAGAATAATTTTGTTCCATGTACAACCATGGCCAACGGGGAGAGCGTCGAGGGATCTTCCTCAGAAGTGGCCCTGTAAG